GAATCTCAATATTCTCTTTACATTATTATGCTTTAAAACCATTAATGTTGTACAATATGCCCTTCATCTCTAATATAGTCAACTTAGCATATGTATCATAAAGAACAGGATGTATATTATTAATAAAATACAAACACTAAACTTCATTTTGTAACTTATTTGGTGCTATCTCATCATCATTAATTTTTAAAGAAATAAAGTTCTCCCAATTTAGAGTTCACATCGGCACATTATTTTAGCAAAAAAGTAACAGTACATGCTATTAAAAGAAGATAACTTATCATATGAGAATCTTAGTATTTCACATTTCCTTTTTCTAAAATTTAACTGTTTCCTTTATATAAATCATTCTGTTTCTCTCATCCAGCCTGGGGGCTATATCGCTCAATGGGTTTTTCAATTAAGAAGGAAGCAATGCAGGTGGGCAGGAAGGAACATTAAATTCTCATCGGTAGGCATCACCTGTTAGATGAACAAGACAACTTCCCTCAATCTACAGCATTTTCTAGAATGCCAGCTGATGAATCTGGCTGGAAAAGCCTTTTATAAAGTTCACATTAGTGCTCTAGGATAAATAGAATGTGCTTTACACCCATCAGGTATCTCAATATGTAACAGGTGATTTGTTTTCTCTTTCTTTCATGACTCATAATGTCTCAGCAATTTCTAGTGACTTTATCTTCCAAATCTATTCTTATTTCTCTCACTGTTCCCATCATAGGCTCAAACCTGATTTATTTTTCTCTCTTAAACATAATCTTGAAGTCATCTGAACCAATACCCTTAGATATAAGGGCAGCAGATTTATTTCCCATTGTTTAGGGTCCAGAAGTTGAATTTTACAAAAGCAATGTTTCCTTCCATCCCTGTTACAAACCACTCTACTCTAGTCTGTGCAATACTGTTTTAAGCAACGGGGCAGCTACACCCAGGAACATCCTGCTTGTTTCAAATCCTTTCCTTTTAAGCTACAACTAAGTACAGGCATGTGGTCTGAGTTCCAAACATCAGAGATATAGTGTCATGTAGACACTCAGTCAAATACCCAACTATCTTGGGAAGAAAAGCACACAGGACCAATCAGAATTTCTTCTCTGATATTATGAATTGAAGATGTACTGCATATTTTCTGTTATAAAACTGCTGCATTTTTAAAATTATTTGTAATCTCACTGAGGGCAGTAATGGAGTCTTAGGATCTTCTTATGTCTGAAATATAGTCCTACACTGGTAATTCATTTCATGAATGTTTAATGGTAATCTCATGCTTTAAAGAAACACAATTTTTATAGTCAACTGAGACATTCTCTGATTTTCCTATCTAATTTTCATCACTTTAAAGATTCATGTAGAATAACACAATAACTGAATCATAATTTTAATGTGGATGGAAGCAAGGAAAGCACTTTCTTCATGTGTATATATTGATTTTCCCTTTATCATTTATGCAACGCAACTGCCATGTGTCAAGCACTCTCCATTTAAGATACAATGGTGTGTGTGTGTGTTCAAGGGTACACGCATACTTTAAGACTGATTTTTAAAGCATATGCATGAAAATTAAGTTAGTAATAAATGACTACAAAATAAAACATAAAATTCTACATTTTATAAGTGATCATTCAAAAGATCATTGAATTGCTACTTTTAGTTGTTCATAGAAACTTTGCAGAGTGTGTGTCCAGACTAAGAATGACAGGGTACTATTGTTCAGAGATTCTTATTAGTATTTAGTTAACAGGGATCTTGATATGGATTTTTTTACATTAATTATGATTTCCAGGGATACAACTTTCTGGTGAGGAGCTAATTAGATGGTCTTAGCAGGTAATATCTAATTCAGGAAGAGTTGCAGGAAAAGGAATGACATACCAACTAACAGATGAATTCAAGACTGAGCCAGGGTTTCAAAGGAAAGGGCAGACTGTGAATGTGATGATATATTCTAAATTCTTTCCTAGTGAACCACAGAGTCTATCAATATTTTTTAATTAAAAACTATGTGGCATCACTACAAGAGTATACAACCAAGCACATTACAGCTTCTACCATCATCATCTTACCAAAGCAAATCACCTCTATCCTTAGAGTCACTAAGCCATTAACAATGACCTATAAAATTTTAAGCAAGACACTAGTTTTAGACATATTTACACAGTATGGATCCATGAGCAATCGTAAATTACAGTTCAGGGCTCTGATTACAGTGCTGAAAAATCTATCAATAACCACCAAAGAAACAATCAGTCTCTCCCTTATTTGTCAATATTTATCCACTATCTCAGCTTCAAAACTGGTATAAATTCTTTGTCTTTGATGATGAAGGTGAGCTCTTGACATTGATGGGAAATTTGAAATGCAAATAATTTTTGGCATCAATCAGTAGTAATTTTGATCTGCTATATCAACATCTACTGAGTCTCTACTGGAAGACAGTATTTGGATATCAGGGTCGTGGAGAAAATCTGTCAAAGTGTTTGAAATCATTCTTAGTAGAGATGAGTCTACTGGCAATCACTTTATTGTTGTTGTCACCTTAACAGTTTGATTGAAGCACTCTGAATGATTAATACATTTAAAGATACATTTTAGAATGGACTGCAGTCTTTTATAAACAACTTCGACTAAGCCAAAAGTAATAAAAAATTAAAATTAGAGAACAGCATTAAAATTTTACCTATTTAAGATGAGTAAGTCCTAGTGATCTAATGTACAACACAATACCTATGGGTAAGAGCAATGTTAGGATAGTTAAAATTTTACTAATAGGTTAGTTATTATATTAAGTGCTCTTATAAAAATAATAATAATAATAAAGAGGGCAGGAGGAAACTTTTAGAGGCAAGAGATACATTTACGCATTGATTGTAATGGTCTCACAGGTATATATTTCAAACTCATCATGTTGTTTATGCTAAATATGCAAGCTTTCTGTATGTCAATCATACTTCACAATAAATTGGTTTTAAAAATTCCAGTAATCTATTATAATAATATTTATGAAATATGCCTGCATAACATAGAAACATAATAAAATTAAGAATTACATGGCTGATTATTCCAGATAACCAAATAGTATGCATATGACTATTAAAATATATCTTAAACTGTCAGTACTTTACAAAGAAAGTAAGTGAAAGCGTTAGTTGCTCAGTCATGTCCAGTTCTTTGTGACCCCATGGACTATAGCCCACCAGGCTCCTCTGTTCATGGAATTCTTCAGAAATAGGTTTCACACCTATTATTTAAAGCTATGCTTTCTCATTCAGAATATGTCAAACATTATTTAGCTATACCTTTGTAACTCAAGTGGATTATGCTATTTATGCATCAATGCCCAGTAACTGTCAAAATCGGATGGGAGACCAAACTTGCACTTAACATTTTAACAGTACGAATTTAATATAAGGGATTGTTAACTGTGCATTAAGTTGTTAACTAGATAATTATACAGGGAAAACAAGAACATGAAGGTATCATGGAAAAAGCCCTGAACAAAAGAGCTACCACTTTTAGGACTGAATGCACAAAGGGATAGAGGTGGAATTATTATAACCTTGGTGGGGGCCACCACAGAGCTGAGGAGTGGTCCTGAGACTGCTGGTATTGATATCCCTCATCTTGGAAAGAGGCCAGGCAGATCTGGAAACACAGACCTCTGAGAAGGGGGCAACTGTGTGCTGGAGTTAATGTCTTTGACGGATGGCCTGATACAGCTACGTCTGCAAACACTGGAAAAACTGTCAACTGGATTCAGCTGCTGTGATGTTGCTGAGGTGAAGAACTGCTGGGGTGATGCTCACTGAAACTGCAAGTCCAGAAGAAGCTCTCAGGAAGGAGAGAGGGAGCCCGCCAGCCCACCTCTAGCCTTGTCGTCTCCCACAAGCAGCCACTATTACCAAAGCCCAATACAGTCAGTTGGCAAGGTGAAATGTCGCTTGCAAAGTCCAGCTCCAGCCTCACCAAAAAGATAGAGGAGGGTGGGTCTGGTGCAGAGATAAAATAGCATAAAAATTGGCACATGGTCTTAAGAGATAATCAAACTACAAACAGAACAGAGCAGACCCTTTCAAGAAATCCTCCTAGAAATCCTGTTGACCTTTTTATGAGCACCTTACTTGCTCTGTCTTCTAAATATATTACCCATAATTCAAGGAAGAATGAGGAAAGTTTGTTCAAAGTACTGGTTTGACCTGTGACTCCCAAAACAATTGTGCTGACCTTCAAGATGAGTTCATCTTTCTCTTACAAAAGAATTACAATGGCTCAGTGATAATTTGTTACATAAATTTTGAGGAGTCGCTATTACTTATATTTGTAATCTGGACATTAATTAAAATATTAAAATGATCAGAAATCTGACTGATGATCTATAATTACTTAGTTAGCTGAAGCAATTAAGGTGTTTGATACTAGCTTTTTAAAATCTTATTTGTATACATAATAGGGTGGAATAATTATCCAAAAATACATGGATGACAGGTATTTTGATAGCAAAAAATAGGTCTGTCTTTAATTAAGATCAAACCATATAGTACTGTATAGGACTTGGTATACAATAAATTGTATCCATTCCTACAATTTGTGAATTGCTAAGAAGCATTTAAATCGGAAATGCTGTATCAAAATTAAGTGAAAAGCCCATGACTACTTCTGTCATCCTCATGTCTATTAAATTGTTGGTTTGATAATCCAGACAGACAGCAGACTGGTGGAGAGGAGAACTAAAAACCTAACTCTAAAAGAAGTATTTGTTTCTACTTTGCTTAAAACAAACAGCCTTCCAATGGAGCAATTCTAATCTGATTACACAGGCTTGGTCTTGAACCTGTATTTAGAAAGAACTCATTATATATCAGCAGAAACTAATGGACTTACAAATGGATGTCACAGAGACTAATTCTATAATTTTATGAATTAACAGATTTTCTTTAATTTCCCACTGAGAGAAATTATATTTATCAACACAGAGTGTTAATATTATTCAAAATACTTCTTACCTATTAACATCCCAGATTTTGCTAGTTGTATCCAGTGAGGAGGAAGCCACAAAATCACCACAGGAGTGCCACGTGCAGGACCATACAGCGTGGGTATGTCCCTCGAAGGTCAAAATGCAATTACCTTTAGACAGGTCCCATAACTTAACTGTAGTATCACCACTTGAAGTAGCCAACTTGTTGCCACTATATGCAAGAACATGAAAAGGTAATTTATGATAAAAATCAATTTACAGTTCACTTATTTTTATAAATGGCTGTTATCTTCTGTGAATAACTTGTGTGCATTTATCTGAGTTATTTTTATTTTTAATGGCATATCATTATGCCTGACTCTTATTATTTTACTTGAATCTACACAATTTGATACATCCCTATATGGTTGAGTGAAGTATCAAATTATGTAGATTTAAATAAGACCTTGATGCTGGGAAAGATTGAAGGCGGGAGTATAAGGGGATGACACAGGATGAATTGGTTGGATAGCATCACTGACTCGATTGACATGAGGTTGAGTAAATCCCAGGAGTTGGTGATGGACAGCAAGGCCTGGTGTGCTGCGGTCCATGGGGTCGCAAAGAGTCAGATACGACTGAGCAACTGAAATGAACTGAACAATATGGCTTAGTAATTCAAGTTGATGAAACTGCTATTGCATATTTTCTATATTAATTATTCCATAGTTTTCCAGATTAATTTACTAAATTGGTACTCTTTTAAAGCACATGTTGGTTTCAAGGACTATGTTACACTCTGGATGATACAGCCTCAGGACAATGAAATTTTAGACAAGTTCAAAAATGTAAATCAATATACAATGCCAGTCAGCATTGTTTATGTTTGTATTAATTAAATGCTATAAGAGTGCAGTTTGGATAATGAAGGCAGATGTGAGTCAGAAATGAGGGGGCTATGGAGCTACATCTTGAGAGATGAAAGACTTTGAAGAGCTGGGTGGTTAAGAATGAGTCACTGGATCTTCCATTTGAGTTACCAGTAGACATTAAAAAAATTCAGAGGCTTTTAAATGGTAGATACAAAAACAAGATTAAGAAATAAGTGTGTGGCAGAGATGTCAGCAGAGACATCTAGGTTTCTTTTGGCAAAATATCAACTGCTAGAACATTTCATGTCCATCATCTTCTCCATATCCTTCAGCACTGCGTGCTCCTTGTATATGTTCTCTCAGTAACTTCTCTCTCACTGAATATAACGAATTGCTTATTTGCCTCCTTCCCTTTGTTCTTGATGGGGAATTGCTCCCTCTCTGTTCTGATAGCATCAAGCATTATGGTTAACCAACTGAAGTGCTCATTAAATGCTTTCTAAAAGAATAGATATATGACTGAATGAAGTGATGCTACAAATGAAGAGTTGACCAAAATTTCTAAGACAGGAAACTGCACTTGGATCAAGATAAGTGTTTCGCTTGCTCGCTTTTATTTGTTTATTTTTATGCTGAGAGAACTAAATTTTTACATGCAGATGAGTAACCACTAGAGAATAAGACTTAAAGATGCTGCCAGAAAGGAAGATTAGAGAGTAAAGACATTCTCAATAAAGTCATAAAAGGATATTTATTTGTACTAACAGAAGTACTTTGTAAGTGTAGTCCTTTACTGATAGGTAGATACTAAAACCTGTCCTTTCTTTTTTAGCTCTTGTTTATTTGTACATGTTTGCCATTAAAATTTTTACTTTCTAAATATTAAAAAATAAACAATATATGGTTGTCTAAAGATAACTCATTATAACTTCGCACTGGGATATAGATTCAAAATTTGAATCTGGGTGAACATTAGAGGGGAATACATATATTCAGTCCATGGCAGGATATAAGTTAAGAAATAAGGATGTCAGAAAAAAAAAAAAAAGAAAACATTTTCCTAATAAAAATCTCAGAAGAGAATGATATAAAATGGAATATAAACAACATTCAAAGAAAAAAGGTAATCATTTTACAGAAACTAGAAATTTAAGATGTAGAACCAGAGATCCAGGGGGAAAAAAGTATACCACATGGAATAAACAATGTAAACAAAAAGCAATCTTCACCTAGTTAAATTTTAGCCAACTGTAAAGCACTATAGGCAACAACAAAAATTATAAGAAAATCAAGTCATTTACTTATATAGTGCTTAACATGTGGTATAGGGCTTCCCTGGTAGCGCAGCTTGTAAAAAATAATCCACTTCAATGCAGGAGACTCTGATTTGATTCCTGGGTCAGGAAGATCCACTGGAGAAGGGATAGGCCACCCACTCGAGTATTCTTGGGCTTCTGTGGTGGTAAAAAATTAAATGGGAACAGCTACCTACTCCAGTATTCTGGCCTGGAGAATTCCATGGAGAGAAGAGCCTGGTAGGCTACAGTTCATGGGACTGCAAAGTCCAGCTTGACTGAGTGACTATCACTTAACATGTGCTAGAAACTCTATTGAGTATATTATATGTATATTTGATCCTCACTTAACAGTTTGAGCAACTTAATTATCTTCAAAACAAACTCGACAGTCCCTATTTAAATAAATAAAATGATAAAATGTTTCACTCCTAGCAAGGTTTTTAAACTAAATTATATGAAATACTAAATGTATCTTAAATGATAAAAATGACAATTGCTAGAACCACAGAAATAAAAGTGACCAGTATAAAACAGTATAGACATAACAGAAGCAGAAGTTATTAAGAAGTGGCAAGAATACACAGAAGAACTATACAAAAATTATCTTAATGACCTAGATAATCACGATGGTGTGATAGACTCACCTAGAGCCAGACATCCTGGAGTTCGAAGTCAAGTGGGCCAGAGAAAGCATTACTACAAACAAAGCTAGAGGAGGTGATGGAATTCCTGCTGAGCTATTTTAAATTCTAAAGATGATGCTGTGAAAGTGTTGCACTCAACATGCCAGCAAAATTGTAAAACTCAACAGTGGCCTGACCTGGAATAGGTCAGTTTTCATTACTATCCCAAAGAAAGTGAAGTCACTCAGTTGTGTCCGACTCTTTGCGACCCCTTAGATTGTAGCCTACCAGGCTCCTCTGTCCGTGGAATTCTCCAGGCACGAGTACTAGAGTGGGCTGCCATTTCCTTCTCCAGGGGATCTTCCCAACCCAGGGATCGAACCCAGGTCTCCCTCATTGCAGGAAGATGCTTTACCATCTGAGCCACCAGGGAAGCCACCAATCCCAAAGAAAGTCAATNAAGGACAGGGAAGCCGGGCGTGTTGCAGTTCATGGGGTCACAAAGTGTTGGAGACAATTGACTAAACTATAACTGTCAAAGTGAAAGATTTATACACCTCTCTCAGTTTATTTTCTAATTCAAAATACTGATAAAGATATGGAATATTTAACGAATAAAAATATAACCTTAATGGCCATGTATAAAATCCTTCACCAAATAACCAGTGATCATACACTTTTCTCAAGTATATATATGGAACATTTATAAAAACAGATAATATAGAAAGCCATAAAGCAAGTCTTTAACATATTTTTTACCACAGATGTTATACTTTATCATCATAATACAACTGTTATAAATAAGTAACAAAATCATAGTTTTTAAATCCTGTATATGTGTGAATTTTAAAACAACTTTAAATTAACTTAAATATCCAAGAACTAATAATAGTGGATATTTTAAAATAATTAGAACTAAATGAAAACAACATATTAAAACTTTGAGATGAGATCAAAATGGAATTTCAAAATCATCTTAATTTCTTTACCTCCTAATAATAAAAAGCAGACAGTCTCAAAATTATTCTGCTAAGCATGAAACATTAAGTTCAGAAAAAATATACTATCAACTCTTATAATGAAAGATCAACATAGACCAAAGTGGTTCTTTGAAAAAAAAAAAAAGAGTTTAAATATATCTCTACTAAGGCTGGGGAAAAAAAAGTCTCTCAATATGATAAACTTTTAACCAATAACCTAAAGAGATATTATAAATGTATAAAGTAGTTTCATTCTTTTCATTTTTCTTGGAAATTATTTTTCATACCAAATGTTATATAAATATGATATTTTGCAACTTATGAACACTCTACAAATAAATCATATCAATCTGGTTGGGTCAAGCTAATTTATACTTTACAAACAGTAAGCACAAAGCATCATTAATTTTCTAAACTCTTAATCTTCTCTGTAATTGCTTTACTCTTTATTTTTACATATTCTTTATTCAAACTGACTTTTCAGACTTTAGCACGTAACTGCAGAAATATTTTGTTACTGTCAAAAATGACTTCAGTTTTCAAAAATAAATATACTTTCCAGATTGATGCTAATTACCTGTTTTTAATAAAACATAATAACATGTTTCATGAGAGAGGTGTGGATCAGAAAGAAATTAATGCCTTTTGTGTCACAAAATAGGAAGTGATCGGTTTCTCATCTTGGCTCTGCTAGGTGACCTCTGTGACTTTGGACAGGCCATTTAACATTTCCATTTAACACTTGGAAATTCATTGTCTTTACTTGGAAATATGGTGATAAGTTCTACTCAATATGAAGTGCTGTTTTGAAGATCAAATAAAAGAATTTTTATAACAACACATTTTAAATTCCAGGTATTTTTCAAACCTAACATTTTTTTTAAAAGATTCTCTTATGATCAGTAGTTCAGTTTTATGTGAAATTGTTTATCAACATTTCCATAAACAGCAGAATGAGGTACAATCACCATCATCATCCTGTAGTCTTCTCCACCTGTGCCTATCTACTCAATAGGAGTATGCGAATTTGTAAAATGACCATCAGTCACAGTGTTCTCAGTTACCACAGGATATGCATATATTATTTTATGTAACAGAATAACAAACAACCAAGATCTAGTTAAGGAGAAGGAAATGGCAATCCACTCCAGTATTCTTGCCTGGAAAAGTCCATGGATAAAGGAGCCTGGAGGACTGTAGTTCATGGGGTCACAAAGAGTCGGACACAACTGAGTGACTAAGCATAAGCATGAAATATAATTAAATTAAAATAGTTTCTCCTCCTGTGTTTATATGGGTAAAAGATCTAATTTTGGTTTTACTGAGCTCATAAAATGATGATATTAGAAAAACTTGCAGTTAGAATTCAGATTACCTAAAACATTGTCATATTTGAGACACATTTAGTGTTCCCAGTTTGAGAGAATCCTCCAGACTTTAAAAGGTAAAAGAGCTTAGC